CTTATATGTAGAGTTTAGTGTAAATCAGGATAGTTAGAACACTGTGCAATAGTTTCACTAATTTACCTTGTAAACTATCACTGATCTACTTTAGAAGATTTAGCACGCAAAAACAAAAAATTCAGAATTAATTAAAACCTTTATCTTGTTCATAACACACACTTTCAGTATCCATGACCGTGTGAACCAGAGGTGATTTACTAAGAAACAAAGCTTTTACTAGCGGTATCCTTTTTTAATAGTGTGTGACTTTCTGTGTTATTTATCTCTTGCAAATTCTCAGCGACCAACATTCCAACGGTTATCACAGACTCTTATATAGGTGAATAGTTATTTAAAGTGAATGGCAGATGTCATTTTTCTTTCTGACTTTTCTATGCCAGTTGGATCAGTCAGCAGTACCTTTGATCACTGCTGGCCGGTTTGCACAGTTAGAATAATGAGAAAAAAACAAAAAGATGCAAACAGCGAAGAAAATTTTATCTCCGATGTTTCATTTTCATAAGTTGCTATAAGATAGTAATTATATTTAAAATAAAAAATCATAAGACAAATCCTTGATTCCTCTGCTGGTCAGTATCCACTAATTAACTTCGAATTACACAACCGGACGTCGTCAAAACATCTACACAAAGAGCTGACATGTCAACCTGAGATCAAGCACTTCGGTTCAATCAATCGATGTGAAAATCTAAAATTGAATTCAATAATTATTGAGACCCGTTGAACAAGAGGGCAGTGGTTCTCCTGGCCTAAGTGGTCTGATGGATAACGCTTTGACGTTTGAAACTATAAGCACTGGGTTAGAACCTCACTGGGGACACCATCAATCACTGGGAATGCAAGTGCATATCCACTAGCTGATGAGTCCCGAATAGGACGAAATGAGCGTTATCCTAGTGGATTCCACTGCTAGTCAACATCCACCAATTAACTTCAAATCAGATACTGGTAAAATTCGTTCTCCAAAACGCATTGCGTAATGTTATGGTGTTGTCTAGAAGGGATGACTAATTGGAAGCTAGAAAAGAGGTAGAAGTTGGCCTGATGTAATAAGTGTGAGATAATGACTAAATGGTATAGGTGTGTAGAGTGGACAAGAACTAGTGGAAAGACGATAAAGTGTTTTTGTATAAAATCTGTATGAAAACGCAATGTTACTAATAAACGCTAATAGAGTGGTAATAAAATGTGGATAATGGGAATAATAATGATAATAAAATAATAGTAGTAATAATAATAATAATAGTAAACTTACATAATAAATAAAAAAGCAAAATTATAGTAAGAACTTTACTGTGGCCACGTTAGGGCAAGTGAATGTATGTAACGCTTTTGAATGTGGAGGTCCGGTTTCAGATCCCGAATAGCTAATGCTTCAGCCATGTATAGATGGTGTATGCTGATGAGCCTCAAAGTGAGACGAAGCATCTTTTCGATGCTTCTTGATTTTCACTCATAGTATAGATAGTTTTGATTTGATATATATATATATACATATATATATAATCTCTAAGTCAGTCGAATACTTTGACACTATCCATGTTACCCAGTATCTTACAGTCAACGATGTTGCAGTTGAGCTATTAGGGCTTGCAACTGACCTCCTATAGGATTGTATTAGATATTTCGACTAAAGGAATTCAATCTGAACCCCAAACAAGGGACTAAACGCATGAGTCTAGTTACTTACTGCCTAGTGTTCAATCAGTTTCAAATGTACTCCCACAGGAGGTCAAATGCCAGCCCAAATGACTCAGTCATAACTTTACTGACTGTAACACACTGAGAGAGAGAGAGGCACGGATTCGAATCTCAGGGGGTGGAGGGACATGAGTCCCTTCAAGACTGTAGATACAACTTATTGATTTGTGAGTTCCAACAAACATGGAACATAGGTCGACGACTTTCTGCTGACCACCTTCAACTACCTAACAGATCTATTTATACAGATGTATCTATTAAGAAGTTGAAAATATCTGGACTATGAATAGATTTTTTAAAGTGACAAGTTTTCAAGCAATCAATTTCAAACAATAAGCCAACATAAATTATGATATCTGGTGAATAAACGTTTTCATTTCTATTCGCCTTGTGAATATTAAAAAGCACACTTTTCCACATATTGTCATACTACTACCATTCATTTATGATTGCTGGTGAACAACGCCCTTCCACTTTACATTTTCATGCTGATACCATCGCTCACCATGTCTGGGATAAGAAAATCCCTGCTCGTTTAAATTGAATTCTGATTCTGAACTAAACGAAAGATCAGTTGGTTTGATCACCAATGGACATCAATTAGCGAACCACTGGGAAGCCAGCCGGGAGTAGTGAACAGCTGTTTCGTCCAACTCGTTTGAGACGCTTCATAATTAATCACTCATCGTCATTGGTTCAGACCCTGAACATTCTTGTCACAAATAGAATGTATTGACCATTCACCCACTGGGACCCAATCTAGTGGCTAGCCCATGGATTCCAGATTCTGCCAATCGGCGATATATAATACGCAACCACTAACCAATGTCATCGTGCGTCGGTGGTATAGCGGTTAAGACGCTCACCGACCATGCATATGGTCCGGGGTTCGACCCCCGGCCGGCGCACTCATTTACCTCACTGAGCCAGAAATAATGCCGGTAAAGAGGAAAGATTGGGCATGAGGCTAGCAACCCCATCCTGTAAAAATTAAACACTGCTACAGAAACTTCAAGCCACTAGCTTGGAGCCCTATGTTCCACTGGGAACGTGAAGGAAAAAAAAACCAATGTTATCAGTGAGCGACTGTTTGCCAGTATGACTTCGCTGACTTCCACTGGTCACGACTTCTCACATAAAACTCCAGGCAGATAACACCCTGTATAGAGCTAGCCAGTTGCCAGCCAGTGAACATCAGATTAATTGTCAAATGTCGTTCAAGCTACAAGCCAATATCATTAGAACCAGAAGGTCCTGAGTTCGAACCCCTGTGGTGGATGCGTACTAATGAAGAGTCTCAAACTAGGATGGGGAGGGAACAGCTGTCCAGTACTCCTAGCTGGCTTTCAAATGATCCTCTAACCGATGTCAGTTCATGATGAAGTCATGAAACCAATCACTTGAATACCACTAGAACTTGTTGTAAACTATTTATGATAAAACTCAGGATGGAGCAATGCACCTTGTAATTGAGATCCATGTATCACTTTTACAAAAATTCAAGAAATCTGACAAAATTAACTAAACAGTCCATACACTAGCTGTTTATGATGTATTTTTGTGAAGGCAATCAAATTTTACACGAAATAGGAAATAACTAGTAACAAGTGACTATTAAAAATTATTTTACCAGTATTTAGAGAAACATACTGGCCACACGCTGATACTAATGCGGAGAAATCAGGAAAGCCATATATACATATATATGTATATATAAATTAGTTGTTGGACTTCAGAGAATAACTAGCACCATAAAATATGAACACAAATCAATTGAAGCCCAAAATGAAATCCATTCTACTTTTCTTTTTTTACGATGCATACCTTGAGACTGATCGACTAATTAACTGTGTGTCTGTCTGTGTATTTTTGTGTAAAATAAAGACGATCAGTTACTTCCCAGTCTATCAGTCCCTATAGTTCATGTCTTCTCGTACTGTTTCTAAAAGCACATGTACCAAAAATGCCTACGTCTTAAGGGAATGAATACTTAAAATAGTGTCATTGCCAGATATCTTATGGATCATGAGGTAGGCAACGAAAAATCCCTTAAAATAAACTCTGAAGTCCAACAACTAATTTACCCAGAAGGTTGAAACACAGACCCTTCTGGTTACTAAGCAAGCTCATAGATCATTCACCAACTGAGACCCAGACTCCTCAATGTCCAACAGTTTACTAATTGATGATTTTAGTGTGAACACAGGTAGATAATGTCATCGGCGGCGAGTACTTGTCCGATGATATTGGCTGGCAGTGGTCACGCTAAAATCACGTCGGTGGCACAGTGGTTAGGATTTTCGCCGACCATGCACATGGACCGAGGTTCGAACCCCCGCCGACGCACACCTGATATCTATGGTCGGCCTGCAAAATTTGGGCTACCGATATCCATGCTGAAAATTCCATACTTGTACCAAAAATACAGTGTGGAATCAAGCTGTAAATAAAAAATAAAAAAATAGTAGAAGCTCGAATTCATACGCTGGCCGCTGAGGACTCAGGCCCGAGTGGTTGTGAATGGTCTACGAGTTTTCCCTTGTAACCAGAAGATGCTGGGTTCAAAATCGATTTGGTGGGTACCCCTGATGAGTCCCTAAGTGGGAGGACTAAAAAGCCGTCCACTACTCCCATCTAGTAGTGGTTTTAGATGCTCCTCTGACTGATATCAATACTTGACCAAACTTGAAACAAATCAAACCCTTTCTACAAACAAACTCCTGATTATTAAATATTGTTCCTTCTTCAATTTTGTAAATTTTTAACGAAGTTTTATAAATTTATTTTGGATTCAATTCTTTTTATTTTCCTGGTGATTGATTTAACTGAAATGTCCAGCCTCTAATGCTGATGATGATGATGATGTCGGCTCGTTGTGCAAATGCTTCAACGATGTCTGTGGACCAACTTGAAGTTATATTTGGTGGATGGTGACTATCAGTGGAATCCAGAATGTAGTCCAATCAATCAATGAGGGAAAATCAAAAAATCGAATTAAAATTAAATAATAACTGAAACCCCATTACACAGTAGATGATCGCTGTCATAGCCCAAATAGTCTAGTGGTTAACGCTTTGGCATTTGAAACGAAGGTTACTAGGCTGAAGCCTCAGAGGAGTGGGAACACCATCACTTAATGGAGAGTATAGGTACATCCACTAGCCTGACGAGTCCGTAATAGGACGAAATGTAGCGCATCTTGGTGGATTTCATTGCTAATCACCCTCCCACCAAAATTACTTGAAGTCTTCTTTCATAATATGCATTTTTTTTTCTCCATTTTTGTTTCCACACAGATGAAACTTTATTTTTTGAAGGAACCAATTATTATGTATTCGATAATATAGAAATGCGTACACGTCCTGGATATCCAAAACCAGCAACACTCGGTATACTCGGCTGTATGCGATGAATGGAATACATACAATTTCAATTACAACGATATTTCTCATTATTCAATACAACCCCACCCCACTCCCTGACCTTATTCATCTTTTTCAAATTATCATAATCCAACCAAATCTTCAATTTACCTCAGTGGTACATTTTCAATTTTTGCCTTTCATATTGAATTTTTCTAGAGAAAAATATATCTAATGACAATCTATTGAAATTTGTCTGACTCTTTGCATTTTTATTCTTTGCCTTACAAACTACTTATATATATATACATATATATACTACTTATAATTATGCCTATGTTGTAATTTGATTCTAATTGGGAGTGTTAAGTGAAACTGAAATACATTGTATGTGATTCCTTGACGTATTAGATCAATCAATGCAGGACAAAGATACGGAGTTTTTTTTTAATCGTACGACTGATAGCTGTCACCTCGATCTCAGTTGTTGTGCTTCAGGTAACTTTCCCATTTCAATCTGTCTAATCTCAGTAGTTCCGTTCACTTACAGAGCCTATCAAAATATAGATTGCCTTTAAATATTGTAAAAAGATGAAGAATAAAACGACAATGAATCGTTTATTGTGATGTAATTTATCTGAAACATGGTTAATTTGATTTTTCATTTTGGGTTGTTCAGTCTTTTGAAAAAAAAAAAACAATTTTACTTACACAATAATCTTTCTTTACCTTGGTAGTTGTATTTAAAAGTGTTAATCGAACACTACTCAAAATTGAAATATCTCATGTAATATTTATTAGTTGTTGTTAGTACTACTACTAATAATAATAAATAATGAGCCAGCAAAGAGATGTCTTTGTGTTACCTCAATTCATAGCTGTACAGTTATTTACAAGGCAGTGGGGGCGGGAGTGAGGGTTATATGTGCAGTGTAGATTGACAACAAAGGTAAAAGGTTGGTTGTCTTTTAGTAATAAACAAAATCAAAGTACATTTATTATTATTGTTTCCTTTAATTCCCCTAGAGGAACATAAGGCTTCAGCCGCACGTCTCCATTGCATCCAGTTCTCTGACAAGGTTTTCACCTGACTCCACTTCTGCTCACATGCTTTCATCTCCTCTTCACCTGAGCTCCTCCTCCATGCCACCCTCGCACTGACGACCAACTTGCCGCCTCCCGTTCGGGCCTGTTGTGTGTTATCACTCACTTAATGGTTTGTTTTCTCAGAGTATGGCTAGCCCATCCACCTACATTTCTTCCTGCACGCATATTTATTGCACAATCGGTTCCTGCTGAGTTGGTTCGCTCATTGCCAGAGATCCCTCCGTGTTGCTAATCTCTTCTGTCCAGCCATCTAATCTTGAGCGAGGTGTTGAGTGAAGACAGCCGTTGATGTAGGTGTGTAGTTTGTTCGAAGTGACCTACGCGACGCGCTGGCCAAGTCTCTGATCCGTATGAGTAATAACCAGTTACTGACTAGTGTCCAATCAAAAAAATATCCACTACAGTCTTACAGGCAATCAACTGCGAGCTACAATAACTCATTGACAATGTCTCTGACTGTAGCACACTGAGTGACACGGGTTCGAATCCCCTCAGAAGGAACATGAGCCCCTTTGAGGTAGAAGATACACCTTGATGACTGGTAGATGTCCAAGGCTTCCTGTGGCTGACTTCCTCCAACCATCTGATAGTAATAACTATGTTTGAGAAATTAAGGGTACCCTCACCTAATCAAGAGGATTGACAACCAATTGATTGATTGATGAATTACGATTTGGAAATGGTTGATAAGAGACAAGGGGGGAGGGAAAAGATTGAAGATGAGTTGTGGAAAACAGAAAACGATCTACAGACAGCTTGTTCTACAGTTCGTTATTCAGAAAGATAAATAAGGAAGACAAATGAAAATTAGCACCAAGGCCATGGTAATGAAAGGGGCTGGATAAGACGCTTCTGAGCACAGAGTTCAGGTTTCTCCTTAAAGATTGCAAAGGAGGCCTTCAGCTGCATGAATAAAATGTGGGCAAAATCCATTCAAACAATTTGGCTGAATACTTTGGTTGAACACTAGTGAGTGACACTGGTTCGAATCCCAGTAGGTAGGGGACATAAGTTCCTTTGAGGTAGAAGATACGCCTTACTGACTGATGAGTACTTGTGGTGAGAGCAGGCCGTGAGAAAATATGTACAAGGCTGATTCAACAACCAATCACAGCAAACTTAACGTGGCAAAATATGATTCGCAGATAGAGAACTCTATTTTTCGAGGAATCCCGAAACAACCAATCAGAAGCCTGCGCTTGTCTACTTGCATAAGCTGTAATAATGTATGTGAAATATATATAAATACGTGTTGATTTTCGTAATAAAACGATCTGTTGCCTGGCCCTTGTCTTCTGTTGTTACATACTGACTTACACGGACCCTAGGTGTCCAAAGCTTCCTATTGGCCGACTGCCTTCAACCATCTATTATCAACGATTTGGTTGCATTTTATCTATGCTCTAGAATTAAGCTATTGATTTGTCTACGCTCTCGTTGTGATAACCATGCTGGGTAAGGGTTCATGGACACGTCTAGACAAATATCATGCTGGTACAGCCTATATACTTAACTATACAAGAGCAGGTGAATTGGTAAATAATAGACACTGAATTCGTCAACAGTAGGATCTGATCTTTGACGTTTCGGAGAATAACAGCATGTGTTTAATAAAGACAAGACGTAGACATGCATCAAAGAAAGTTCTTCAAATTGTTCTCATACAGGCACTTTCGGAGAATCTAATTAATGGTACCACCTTCAAATTTCAGGTGCACACTTAGTTGTTTCTTCGTTATATTCAGGTTTCGAGGAGTATCGACCTTTCTGCTCAGATGTTTTTCACTGAACGAGGTGAGATATCTATTTCTGATTAGAGTTTTTCTGGAGGATTCCAGTTCCTTATTCAATGTGTTCTCACTTCAGTGCATATATACTTATAGTAGATTCTCGTCTCAAGAGAGGCGTTGAGACTTCCTCTCCTTCTTCTACTCATTGGGACAAAACTGTCATAGTTTGTCAGTTGTCCATTCCATTTTGGCTTGGTTTACGGAAGACTGATGTTTGTAGACATCCACCTGACCATCTTATATGTTCGACATCTAGGGAGGATAATTAATCTGCTGATTCCGCTTCAGTTTTAAACTCGACTGATTCACCAATCAGCGTTGTTGAAGATTTGCAGGGTTTAGATCAGGTCAGTATTTTCCTCGGTGATGATGATGATAAAGGCATCATCCACATTGTTAGTATTGTTCCCTTGGGTTCCTAGTGGAAAATAGGGCTTCAACCGCACGTCTACACTTGCCACTTCTGTTTTCCTTCTGCTGTACTCTCCACCTCCATCCATGTTAGTCCATACTCTTTCAACTCCTCTTCACACAATCTCCTCTATATCACTCACCCTTGCACTGACATCCCACTCGCCGCTTCCCTTTCGGCCTGGTTCCACTCGAACAATGGCCTGATGCGCGCGCGATGTCACCAACCGGCCTCCTCATCCGCGAGTGTCTCCACTTTCTCCTGAATATTTGTTGGTTGACGATTGCTTCTTGTTTTGTTTGTTTCTTCCCAGCCATAGTTTCTTGTTGGTGATTGTTTCCGACCCGGCGATCTGATCTTCAGTATAGAGCCAGCGAAGACAGTTGTTGTTGATAAAGGTCTGGTGTGGAACAGGCTGTTAGAAATATTTTTGTGAGCCACTCGCCAAGTTTCTGATCCGTATAGAACAGCTGACTGACTTGACATTGTTTCTATTGGAAATCCGAGTCATCCACATACAGCTGGTAAATTTCGAACCGATTGACAGTCATTAAGAGAATATTTGACTCAAATTCCGCAATGAAGCAATTGATGAGCAATGCTAAGGCTGCTGATATTATGAGTACCTATAACGAGTCTTACTGAAAACAGCAACACTAACCAGGAAACATCAATGTTTATCTGAGAAGTTCAAAACATGATGTGACAGCCATTGTGGAGTCTATGCTCATCGCTTCATGTGATTGAAAACTCACCACTCCCTCTCTCTCCCTCTCTCTGAGAATTCTCAGATCACTAACGAAGTCAAGTAGCACAAACCCTATCGCAAACAGAAATCATTCACATTATATTTAAAGGAGGTTGTGAGTAAAGAGGATTAAAATTTTCACGCCTCTGTGAATCTGCATACAATAAAGGTTTTTGTTAAATAGTTGCAGGGAGCCTCATCCGACCTAAGTTTCGTACGTGTTAGCACTCATCAGTCTGCGCGGCACACTTGCAGACATAAAGTAACTCATGTCCTCTCTGAGGCTCAAACACGTATCACCCGGTGGGCTACAGTATCTGCCTACTACCTATTCTGTTATAAGCGAATATAAGCAGACAATATTGTTGTTTTCAATTAGATCTTCTTCAGGCTTTACTCCAATTTACATAGATTTATATGCAAAAATTTCAACCAATGACGGTGAGTTTGTGGATCAAATAATAATAATAGTGTGGTAAATGTTTTGAACGTCAGTAATAACGATGATTATAATGATAGCAAAAATAATGATAATAAGGTTTATGCACGTGGCGATCGGAATAACGAAGGTAGTAATATGTATATATGTAGACAATTCAATAAATAAATAAATTAGGTCAAATATTAAAAGTTAAGTAACACTAAAGTTGAAGTACACAGACAATTAGAGCCTAAATAAATGTCTTTAAAACAATACGAAAGAATTGGAAAATGAGAAAGGGTGGGAGGGTTTTAATTAGATTTTACCTAGACAAGCAAGGGAGAGACAAAGGTAGAACAAACTTCTTTTGTCGTTTGCAATGACTAGGAGTTTTCTCCCAAATTAATTACCATAGCTTCAGCTGTGGTTCGAATTCCGTTCGAAGGATTCGATGAAATACGATAAGTAACTTTGCAAGCACTTCTTCTGTCCACTTTATGACCACTATCAATCAAATGAGTCAAAACAGAACTTCTTATTGATTTTATTTGGCCTTTTCTGAACCATAAAGGAAGATGCTCATTAATACGTTTGTTGAGATGTCTAGTTGTTCACCCTATATAGCTTTCTCCTCAGGAGTAACTAAATTTCCAGGTACACATTGAAGTGACACATCTAGACAGCTTGTCTTTCGCTTGAGCAATCATAATTGGTTGACCGTCTGAAAAATGACAAACAAAGGGTGGTGGTAGTAAAAATCCGTTTTATTACTCTCCATAATCTTAGATGTAGGACTTCCCTAGCCACGTCCCAATTAAATTGCAATTCTAGGAAGAGTTGTTTTGTTTTTTCAACTGTTGTCAGTTTCTCTTTATTGTACCTGGCGTTCATGTGTCTCCTTACAAATCTTCTTTAAAGCAAATCATTCTGATGTTCATTTAAAGGATTAAAGGTTTTACAATTCACAGAATTTTAGAAAACAACCGAATCCAATGGTCCTATTCAGGCAATGACCTGGGGTTCTAGTGGGAAGCCATGACCAGTAGGGTACAGCAGGTTGAAGATGAGGCAGTAACTCATCGAAGGAGACATTGCGAAGTGGTCGCGCTATGTCATGAATTGGCAGAAGTCGGAATTCATGCACTTGCCATTGGATCGGGTCCCAGTGGCTCAATGGCTAGTGCGCTTGCCTTGTAGCCATAAGGTCGACGGTTCGAACCGTGGCTGTGGGGTGGGTGCGTACTGCTGAAGAGTTTCAAACTAGGATGGAGGAAACAGCTTTCTAGTACTCTCCGGTGGCGGTTTTCCAGTGGTTCTCTAGCTGATATCAGCTCATGATGAAGTCCTCCAACCGATCAAAACACCAATACT